CACACACACACACACACACACACACACACACACACACACACACACACACACACACACACACACACACCTTATAAAAAAAAATTCTTAAAGATCATTTAACATAATTTCGATATTATCGCTCTTGAAGTCAATTTTAGATTATTGAATATTTTAAATGTAAACTATAATACGTGTTGAAAGTAAACATTTATAACTAATCAATCGATTGTACATTATTATCCTACAAATGGAAAAAAAATACTTCTGTTTTCTTACCTTTTGGATTCAGTCTTTCAGGGTTAAACCATGCGTCTGTAAATAATACACATAGAATATTAGTGTCGTATTTCACTTTAACGCCTGTCTAATTTAAGCTCTGGAGTTAAAACAAAATCTTTGACGCAAAAAAATCAATACGAATAAGATTTCGGAGACTGTAAAAAATACGGGTAAGATTTCATGAACTGTAAAACTTTGATAAGATAGTCGTCAGACACGTTTCATGCGACAGCTTCATGAAATCTTACTATCATTGAATTTTTTTTTTGCGTTTTGGCTCCGAAGCTCAAATTGGACAGCTCTTCTAACGTATAAAATGCAAATTACTACAGATTAAATTTCAATAATTGAGGTGTTTAGTTGCAAAATCTTAAGTAATTGGAATTTTTTATAATATATAAAGTCTTCTTAATCAAATAAATTTTAAACCATTTACAATTATTTTATTTTACAATATTAAATACAATATTTTTCAAGACCGTAATAACGTATCAATTTAATTTGTGATATTACTATTCTAGTTTTGTTAGGACTATGTTTTAAGACTAAAAATTAAATTCGGCGTTCAGTTTGCAGGATTGGATATGTTATAGTACATAAATTCATACAATTTAATTATTTAAGCACTGAAGAATAATTGATCATTTAGAATCTTTATTTCTGATTTATTTTATTTTATTCCCTTTAAGAAAGTATTTATTTATTAATCAACGTTTACAGAAGATATTTTTATCAATAATAGTATTATTTTTTTTTACTTCATTTGATCAAAAAACTAAATTTTTATGGAATTTTATACTCAATTAATATAATCTTAAAAAAAAGAAATAGGCGTCTAAAGTTTGGAAGAGATTTTGATGCAGTGAAAAATATGTACGACAAAAATCATTTACATGCACTTGAACATTATAAATCAATTCTGTTATCGCTCTCAGAATATAATCATAGAAAGAAAATGATACTAATTGTAGAAATGTATTCAACGTAATGTCAATGCAACGAAAATTGTATTTCTTTCTTCACATTCTAGCATTTCTAATATTCAAGAGTGTCACAATTATTACTCATTATCACAAATTATTACTTGTATAAATTAATTATTAATTTCTCTGTGAAAAAAGTTCATTCGTTCATCGCAAAAAAAAAAAAAAAAAACAAAATTCATTGCGCGAAATAGAGAATCAAAGAAGTAAGAAACGTAAAAGATCATAATTTATCTCAGATGCATTGTTCTTCTTATTGTGTCATGTTCTTCTTATTTTTCAGGTTACACTTCTATTAATAATTATATAATAAATCGATACGGATAAGAGATTGTTACCCTATAGTAAAATAATTGCCTAGCTCTAAAGGCTATCAAAAAACTGTAGAGTAGTTTGAAAAAGAGTAAATTTTATTAATTTGTCAAATATTACGCTTTTTAAATATTTCGTTTAATAATAAAAAATGTGTTTTTTTAATAATCTATTGCCATTCATGAAAACTTATTGCATTATATCAAAAGTCTATAGATTTGCTAATATTGGACATGAGCTACTACGAGTTACTCATTTAACGAGTCATCACAATTCTTTACTTGAAACCATTCTCGTTATTTTACTCCAGACAAAAGACGAACGAAGTAAGTACACAACATAGAAAAAGATCAATATCCTTTCATCGTTTATATATACGTTTTTCTTTCATATTAGAGAGATAATTATATTAGAGTAAGATTAATATTAATTATTAAAAGCAGCTTAAAAACACGTGATTTAAATATGAGTTCTTTAAAAAATTTCTTTTGTTATTCATGTCATCTATAAATAATAATAAATTTACAGTAAATTTTACAGTATAGAAAATGTTCGAAAAATATATTTAAAAGTATCGCCGAATATATTATCATAGCCTGTAAAGCAACACAGAAAAAAAGATTTTCTCTGCGGCAACTAATTTGGTTTGTTATAATATATAATATATAATTTGCTGCCGTAATTATAAATTAATAAACTACAGCGAAATGATTTGCTATTGCTGTTATAATATAATATCACAGCTAAAACATTAGTTATGATACCTATATTTTAGCTATCCATATTTTACATCTGTCATTTAGTTACCACATGCAGTTACAACACTATTTTCTTTTTTCCATAAATGTGATATGATATCATATAAAAAAAAGTTCGTTAATCAAGTTATTTTGCAGTACTAAACCTTAATCAACAGGAGCATTAGAAGAGTGTTCTATTATTACATCGAATATTAATATGGTAAGTGGCAGATAACGAATCGTGTTAGATGAAAATGCATAAGATGTATAGTGTTCGATAATGAAATGTCAACATGATTTCCTTCAATGTCATATATGTCCAAGACTTTATATATCGCGTGGGAAATAATCTCGAAACTACACACCAGTAAATTATAAGCACGCGCACAAATCCCAGAGAAACAAGCTTCGGCAATCGATCGTGCACTGCGCAATATGACTCCTGCCTTGCCTTGAAACCGCAACACGTTATAAGTTATAAGTATTTTTATTTTTGACTTTGGAATCAAATGAATCTTTTCCACGAATGATAAAAAAATCGACAAAGCTAAGCTTTACAATATAAATTTGTAGACACCACTAGTAAAGTCATCTTTGTAATATATTATATCTATTTTAAATGTATTACATACATTATGGATATGCACAGTATTTACGTATCATTAACCTTGCTAACAGTGCGTTATCTAGCATTTCAGTGCAGTACTTATCGCTATTTGCAAAAATATTTTTTATTTTCTTGTTAATTTTTCCTTAAATTATTAAACGCTCACGATTATGTACAAATAATTTTTTATAAAAAATCTTGTCTTAATAAAATAATTATATTAATTAGAAAAAGTATTAAAATACAAAACAAGAGAGTTAAGTTTGATAATATAAAGAAGATAAGATTCTTTGCAAAAAAGTTATAATATTTCTTTAAAGAATATATCAAGTTATTAATAAATATTTTCTTTGCGAAGGTACAAAGATAGGATACAAGAATAGAAAGACTAACTGAATAAAATTATTATCATCTTCTCGTCATGTTAATCCAATAAAAGTAACGATAATTTAGTTATGTAATTTATTCTTAATAATCAGTTGTCACTATTATAGTCTAAAGCTGATGGGATGACTTTGGCATAAAGTTCGAAAGTCGATTGTACGCCACGTCGTCACGATTGGATCTTGTGGCGTTATGTAATGCAAGGTCACGATAATAATTATTTCAAATTGCAAGAAATCATAATCACGCGTACCGCTAGCGTATTGCGAAATCAGAATGTCACCCACTCGTCGGACAAAGGTGGATTATAAAATTACAGTGAATTATATTAGTATTTCATTAGCATATCGTTATTTAATAAAAACATTACCAAAGTTAAAAACATTAACAAATAATAACTGTGTAATAATAATAATAATAATAATAATAATAATAATAATAATATAATAATAATAATAATAATATGAATCATAATGTAAAGTAGTCTCGATATTTTATAAATAGAAAATTTTTTATACAATATAAAACTTCTGATATTTGTTCGAACTAGTAATGGTGTCATAGTAGTGTAAATGCAACACGTTATATTTAAAAGTCTTACAAATATTTATGACTTATAATTTATTAAAATATAACAACATTTATTTCGGAAGAAAAGATTCAATTAAGTCAATGATAATCTAAGCTCCAGATAATGCATTTTCCTATTTTAAATCATTACAATTCAAGTTCTGATTAAAATATTTAGACAGTGTATTCTTTAGGGATAACAAAAGTTACTTCTACCAAATTCTAATCGGTGATAAGAGAGAATGTCTAGAAAAAAGATAAAAGTTGAAGGTAAAGGTAAGAAAACTAAAAGTGATCTGAGCCTTTTAACTGACAAATATTCAACTAATAAAAGAAATAAAATTAACTGTTCCTCCTTGCTATTCAAAATAAAATGTTCACAATTGCTTTTTTATTTAAAACAACGATCAGCATCGTCTCTAAAGCGTGTTTTATATTGAATCTATCCGCTTTGATTCATAAATCGAAATCAAATCGATATCAATTGATTTTTCAAACCGTTTGATTTGATATCGACTACATTTTCTATTGATCTTCGAAAAAGACTGACATTTTATTAATGCTTGAAAAGATCGATGTTTTATCAACGTTATATTGATAAAATGTTTTCTATTGATCTTCGAAAGAACTTTAGATTGAACCCATTCGTTTTTATCGTACATGGAGTACTCGTAAGAAAATGCTTATAAGCCTATTCTACAAGTCGTAAGTCGTAAGAAACTGGCCAATCACAGTAAAATATGAAAAAAATAATCGATTATGATTGGTTAATTTTTTAGTTTGCGACCTTATTGAAGAACAGGCTTGTAAAAATTTTCTTACGGATACTCCATGTACGGTACGAACTTCATGGGTTCAATCTAAAATGAGCAGATAGACAATATAAACGTGAATACGATAGAGATGTTTGCATAAATGTTATTTGCAGATAGTCGACCGATCGATAACCTAGTTTCGATTGAAGATTCTTCGATATCGGACAAGTAGCATCTGCGCAGGGCGAAACTCGGGTCACCGACATGAAAGCGCTAAAGGATTAAAATTACCTACTATCCAATTTCGTTTGCTTCTAGATGAGAAGTCACCGCAAAAGCTACTGAAAAAGTTTGCCATGTTTATCTCAAATCGCTCGGGAATAGATAGAATATAATAAGAAAAGGATACGTACATATAGTTCCTACGAGTTACTTATTTAACAGGTGGAGCTCCGAATTTATCGAGTACTCCGAAGAGGAGTAACCCAGATAGAACACGGAGTCATAATTTAGACAAAATATCACAGAAACATCATCATGACATCATTTGATACTTAAAAATTAACGTGTAAGTTGACGAATGAAATGATGATAATGTGCTCATAATATTATTATGACTTCTATGTTCTACTTGGGAAAGAAGAGAAGGAAAAAAAGAATCATCTTTTCGGAGGGATACAAG